GTGAGTTACAACTCTTAAGGCATGAGCACAGTCACCTGCACCTTCTGCTCACTCTCAGAGACTGAGAACCACTGGGTTCAACAGGGGCTGTTTACGTGTGTGAGGATATGAAGAGCAACAGGCAGCTGTAAAGTGTTGGTACCTGGAGCTGACAGAGTTGCTTTGTTTTGGCAAGAATGTTTGGTCCCCCCATCTTGTTCTATTTTTCTCCTAACCTATGTACTGCTGAGCTGGTTTGCATACACTGCTTCTGAGTAATGTTTGTTCACCAAAGATTTTTATTTCTATAAAACCATGACTGAGTTATCTGGTCATCCTCATTTATTCTCATAATTGTTATCTTAAAAAAAATGTGAAAAATCAAAGTAGCATTTTTCATCTTTGGTTATGTAGAACCAGTAGTAGTGTATGCTCAGGTACCTTGGAGTGGCCGGATGGTGGAGACTTCTGTAATTGCTTGTTAGTTTTTAAAGCAGAAAGTGGAGGAAATGAGATTTTTGGTTACTTATAGAAGAATTTGACTTATTGCACTGTTCTTTCCTGCTGGAAAGAACAGGTCTGTGCAAACCAAACAAGCAGTGGTATTGGTGTAGTCTTTTTCTGTCTGCTCAATGACATCATCTTGTGAGAGCTTGCACTAAGATATTGTTGGTATTAAATTTGGGTGAAAAGTGCATGGTCAGACATCCTCATGCATAAGAAAGAGGTGAAACTAACATAATTCAATCCTTTTAGTGCCTCATTTTTGCAGTTTTAAATGACTTGAAGTATTTATTAGGGAAAGAGAATGCAGCTTTATCTTCATGATTTTTTTTTTTTTTTTTTTTTTTCTAGTTTAACAAAGCACTGAAGCAGAGACTTGAATCCTTTGGGCATTACTTAAGGGCTCAGAGCTGTAAATCCCATTATTGAGGATTTAGAAGTAGATTAGATAACCACAAGAGGTCATAGTTGCATCACAGATATAAGAGAGGAGGTCATATTTGAAAATCTTTTCTCTTTAGAGGAAAGCTGCCACAAAAAGAAGGTTGTTTTTAGTTAATGGAAAAAAATGAGCTTGACATGTGAATTTCCAATGTGAAATGCATGTGAAAGTAGGCATGACACAAGAGAAAAGAACAGTTCGTTAAAGGGAAGAGAGTAGAAATTCTGCTTTGTATTGGGCTGTTTGTAGAATTTTTAAAGTGGTTCTCGGCTTGCTGAAGACAATCCTTTTGTAAATCCATCTATTCCATAAGATTAGCCAAGGATAGTTAACTTGATCCTGGGTATTTCAAATGGTATTTTGAAGATTGATTTGGTATCTCATCTGGTTTGCTTTAGAAATCTGGTTTGCTTTAGAAATCTAGTATGGGTAGCAAAAGGAGCCATTTTCACTGTCATTACACTGTTAATAATTTTCTGTGGTTTCTATATCTTGTGGGTAGATCACACAAATAAGTTTATTTTACTTTATTTGAAATCTGTTTGCAATACGTATTTAAAATCCAAATGTGGAGTGGCAAAATACCAGAATCACTTTCTGACTAAATGAGCTCCTACTAGGGTCAGATCATCCTTGTGGTCTTCAACATATTCAGGAGTGCTTGATTTCTGAGTTCTGCATCACTGCTTCTACCTGTGTCTCATTTACTAGCAACAGTAAAGTATTGCCAGTGGTTCACAGCAGCCAAAAGAGATAATGCAACATTCTTGTTACTGGCAGATGAGGATGAAAAATAGAAAAAATAAGAGGGAAATAAAAAGAAAGGCATCTGTTGAGCCTCATGTTTTTGGAAAGGTATGTCGACACTTTCTGTGGTTTCCTGTGTCATAATCTGCAAGTGGTAGTTGAGTCTTTTGAATGGTGGATGCTCCCTCCTAAGTCCTCCTGACTTTTTACCCACAAACCAGATGCAAAGCAGTGACCTCTGAGCCTCAGGGCTTCATTATTGAAACTTTCAGCTTCCCTCTTCCGTATCTTTCAGAAACTGATAATCTTCCTCACTGCTGAAGGGGAGGAATGAACAGAAACTTCTCACCCCGAAAGGCTTGGCAGTTCCTGCATTTTCACTTTAACTGTCTGCTAGCAGTAATTCTTCTTGTGGATGCAGACATCCATGAAAATGTGTTCCTGTTTCTCTGCAGCTCTGTCACACAGAAGAGCTAGTGAAGGAGCTACGTGTGCTACATTTTTAACCCTCCTTGTGGATTCATACTGACGGTTGTTAGGTACTTGGAAATGCAGACGTGTTCTCATGTTTAGGACTTAAATTCAAAGAAACAGATGCCTGGGAACCCACTGGCGTACAGAAGCAAATATTTTCCTAGAAGTGCAGAGTCCTCTTGTTTAAGAGGTGCCAGTTCCCATGCAGAGCTCTGGTACCACAGAGCTATTACCACACCCTTGTGCAGCACAGTTGATATCGCCAGTGCACTTATGGTAAAGCTGCAGTAGATAAGGTGCTGTGCTGTATGTGACAGCAGGATTGTTGTGTTCCATTGGCTAATTGTAGAGGGACCTCATCCTTGTTTCTAACAAAACTATAGTATGTTATTTCATTTTTATTGATTTGATTTCTTTTCTGTTTCTTTTTCCAGATAAGCCCACTTGCATGGAGCTGCCAGAGGAGCTGTCAGCTGGCAGACATGCAGGAACTGAGAAGGGAGAAAGCAATAGAAGACTACAGAATGAAAGAGGATGGTCTTTTGATCCAACCAGCCATGGAATTTAATAGAGAGAAACAATCCACAGAAGGATAGAAACTACAGAGATGATTGCTTTCCCACAAAAAAAAAAAAAAAAAAAAAAAAAAAAAAAAAAAAAAAAAAAAAAAAAAAAAAAGGGTCTCAAAACACATCCTTCAACAGTCAAGGATGTACTTTGTCAAAGCAGAGCTTGAAAATCAAATTCATGTGGTAAAATCTGTAGGAATGCCTTAAAATTACCTCAAGCAGACTGTACGAATTTCATTTCTGACACAGGTGATTTGATGAGCTTGGATTGTGTGTTTGGAGACATCTAAGTAAAGAAAGAGGCTATTCCTCTTGCAGAGGTGTCAAACAAAAGCTCCTGACTTTACAATGGCAAGTAATTCAACATCCCACTGTTGAATGGAAATAATGATGGTCTGTCTTTTGGAGGAAATTCCTGCTGTGTCTGACTGTTCTTCTCTAGGTCTATTTTTGAGATCCATTTTTTCTGAGAGCTATTTTTGATTTTAAGAGTGACTTATTTTTCTTCCATTGTTGAAAGACCACTTTCTTAAACTGTATTGGTTGTTACCTGTTGCAGGTATGTAAAATTCTCATTAGAGCAGCTTCCTGCTAGAAGTTGCAGACCACTGTCACCACTGTTGTTTGCCAGCACTGCCACATCCAGGTCAAGTGGATAAGGCTGTAACGCCACTGTGCTGTGTGGTGTGTGCAAAAAGCAGTTTAGGAGGTATAGACCAGTCCCTTCCCAAGCAAAATAAAGTATTAGGGCAATACTACTGCTCTACCACAGGCCAAAATTAATGTAGGCTATGCCTCAGTCTCAGAACAAGTTCTTTGACATATTGGTGAACACTGATGAATGTAGAATAGGGAAGAATGGATGAGGTCAAAGGTCACTGTGCCAACCAGACTGCAGTCCAAGAACAGTCTGGGCATCAGACTGCAAAGGTGGGAATAATAATGACACCAGCTTGGAAGGGATGTGACATCTGCATGTGAGTACATGCCACTACCTGTTTGGTTTTCTTGGGATGTAAATTGGTGTGACTGTGTTTATGATGTATCTGCACATTTTAAAAAAATATTTTTAGGGGGAACATTGTAGTTTTCTGGTGTGTTGAGTTTTTTTACTTCTCCCCACAAAGTACTAGATCAGCAGTATTTAAATATGTTGTCATTTGAAACTGTCAGACTTGCTCTCTTGGCAGAGTGATGGAAAAACTGCCAAGGTTTTCTTTGTCATTAAACTGAAAGAAGATTTTTTCCAAACAGTCATGGGTTATCACAGATCAGTCGGGTATAGTGTGGAACATGCAGGCTCTTTTGTCAGAGACAGATCAAGAGCTGTATCTCCACAACCAAAAATATCTGTGTTCATGCAGTCCTATTTCAGACAGAAAATAGTGATACATCAGGTAGGGGAAAGAGGGAGGGAAAAAGAGCTGAGAGATGAAAGCATCAAGTCTGGGATACAGTATGGAATGTCTCTACAGGATTCAAAGCAATTGCTGAGGCTACCCTTCTTGACAAGAGGCTGAGCTGCTTTCTCAGCCTCTTCCAAGGACTTGATCTCTGACTGGAACAGCATTGTCGTGGAAAAGGATTTCCAGAGAGAGACCTCACGGTCTAGTTGCATCTGTACCACTATAATGATTCAAGTAGCAAAACTTTCTTGGGTAAATGTAAGTACCACTTCCCCTTTGGTTCTCTTTTGGCAACAGCATAAAGAAAATAAATACATTGGAATTGAGTCATCACTCACTGATGCAGATTAAAAATTACCGTTTTCTTCAAGAAGAAAAAAGTTGTTTTTTTTTAATGGTCCATCAGCCACAGTGATGTTGCTCAGTACAAGCTCTGTCTGAGCATGGTACTACCATGTAACCAAATCATGCATGCCTCCTAAACAATGCAATTCCTGGCTGTACTTAGGGGTACAATTAGCCTCACCAGTTAAGGACAACTCTAAAAGTTTTACTGGAGGAGTAGCCATGATCTTACTTTTATATCCTAGCAACTGTGGTGGTTTAAGCCCAGCTAGCATCTAAGCACCATGAAGCTGCTCCCTCCTGCCCTGCCCCAGTGAAATGGGGCAGAGAATCAAAATTAAACTCGTAGCTTAAAATAAGAGTTTAATAATTGGGAAAAAAAAGTCAATAAATAATAATAATGATAAAAAGGAATAGAAAAACAAGTGATGCACAATACAATTGCTCACCCCATACTGACTAATGCCAGATTCCCTTCCTGAATCCAGATCGGCCTCATTTCCAAGTAGCTGCCCTCCCGTTATACTGGGTACGATGTCCTGTGGTATGGAATATCCCTCTGGTCAGTTCAGGTCAGCTGCCGTGGCTGTGCACCCTCCCAAGATTTCTTTTCCTTCTCAGTGGCAAAGGACGAGACACGACAAAGTCCTCGACTTAGGATAAACACGATTTAGTAAATTCAAAACATCAGGTTTTTATTCTGCATGCAAAACTCATGATAGTCCCAGCTACTGAGCAATTAACTCCATGCAGCCAAAACTACTGAGCGCTGGAGTGACATAGCTTAGTCATGAAATAACAGATTTTTATCGCTATGCAGCAGTTGATACGGATTAATCATCCACTTAAGGATTTGCTCTAAGAGTACTTTTTAATGGGTTTTGGGAGGCAGCAGTGCTGAACAGGGCCACACCGTGTTTACGGTGAAAACACCTTCGCAATTAACCTTCAGGCTTGTTTCGTCCGGAGCTCCTCTAACGCCACTCGTAGCGCATGACAAAGCGAAAGCGGCAGAACGCACGCAGCCTCACCAAATGCCCACACGTGTTAACCCTGGCGGCGCCCCGGTTCCAGCGCCGCCAGCCCCTCACCGCTCCGTCCCCTGCGGGGCTGCCGGGCCGGCGCGGGCGGCCCCCGCGAGGCGCAGGCACGGGCGGCACCGGCTGCCCGCGCGCCCCGGCCCGAGAGCGAGACGCCGAGCCCCGAGCGCGGCCGGCGCCTCGCGGCGCCTCAAGGGCGAGCGCGCGTCACTTCCGGGACACACCCGCCTCCCGCGCCTGCATCGCGAGACCCCGCCCCGCCTCGCGCGAGACTCGCTGGCTCACCCGGCCGACCGGCCGAGTCCCTTCGGCAATTTCCGTCACCGCCAGACCCTACCAATCGGGCGCAGGAGCGCATCGATGCGCGCGGGCCCCCCGCGGGGTCCCTGCGGGGCCGAGCCCCGCCGTGCTGCCGTGGGGTCCGTGCCGCGGGCACGGCGGCGCTGCCGGGGCTGCGGGGCCCAGGCGCGGGGCCGGGGCGGCGGGGAGGCGTGCGGGGTTCGACTGATCAGGCCTGGGCATGGCGCCTCTCCTCCCCCCCGCCATGGCTCCCCGTGTCCCTGCTCCTCTCCTCTCAGTGAGCGAAAGTGGCCGCCGCCGCCGTCCCAGCGCCCGCAGCCGCCGCCTCCTCCTCAGCACCAGCGCGGGCGCCATCTTGGCGAGGCAGGAGCCGGGAGCGCCCCGCGGCAGGAGACAGGCAACGCCAGCCCCGGCAACGCGGGGCGAGAGGCCGGGTGGAGCAAGCGGGGGAGCGAGCCGGGGAGACACCCCCAGCCCCCCGCCGCCGCCGCCGCGTCGCCGCCGGGCCCGCTACCCAGGTGAGCCACCGCGGCCACTGCGAAGGGCACGCCGGGCCGGGACTACGGGAGGCGGCAGCGGGGGCGCCGGCCGGGCAGGCCGAGGCTTCACCCCCCGCGCCGACCGGCGGCCGCAGCAGCCGGGCCTCTTCTTAAAGAGACAGGCCCCTTCCCCGCCCTGCCCGCCGGATGCGCCCCGCGGTACCGGCGGCGCGGAGCCGCCGTTCCCCTCCCCCAGTCCCGGTCTAGAGCGGCGGCCGGGCGCCGCCGGGCGCGGGGGGGCTCGGCGGGAGGGTGGGGGGGGCGGGGGCGCCGCCGCGCACCTGCCGGCGCACGTGCGGGCGGTGGCGCGTGCGCGGGCGGGGGGGCGCGGGGGGGCGCGCGGCGAGGGCGGCGGCGCGGCCGGGCCGGGAGCGCCGCGTCACCGGCGGGAGCGCGCGCCCGCCGCCGCCGCCTGCGGGGGCGCGCCTGCGGGAACGCGCCCGCCTCCCCCCCCCAAAGCCCGCTGCCGTCAGAGCGCGGCCTCCGCCCCGCGGCCGGGCCGGGCCGGGCCGGGCCGGGCTGGGCTGGGCCGGGCCGGGCCGGGCCGGCTGCCCCTGTACGTGAGGCCGCGTGGCGCGGCTCTGCCCGCAGAGCCCGGAGGGGCGGGGTCCCGGGCCGCCCCGGCGCTCCCGGAATAGCCACCGGCACCTGCAGGAAGGGGCCCCCTGCCAGACTCGTGGCGTTGTTGATGGAAAGTGTCTCCCGGGTGGCCGTGGAGCGCAGTTCCGTGCTGTGTTCGCGCTGCTAAATGCGCACTTCCCGAAAGCTGCGCTCTAAAGTCCGCTCCTGTTTGACTGCAAACAGGTAGCCTAGTACAATTTCTCTGTGTGACTCGGTACAATTTCTGTTCTTAACGCTGTTTCCTGTCTTCTGTGGAAGATTTCTCCCACTGCAGTGTTGCAGATGATAATAAACTCCTTTAGTTTAGTTTCGTCTTTGCATGAAGAAAATTATGAAAGTCGTGTAATTTTTTTTACGGTGAAATGTGTATAATTAGAATTTTAGTTTCCTCTGTTACAAACAAATCTGCATGGATTTGTACACACAGATCTGATAAGGTGTACACAGCACATCTGATAAGCCCTTTATGTATGTGACCAACACATTTTTTAACTCAAAGGACTCATTTGTGTTGTCACTCCTTTAGTGTGTATGTATAAGAGTGTTCTGACACTGAGAGGTTGGTAAGATAGTGAGGGAAAAGGACAAGAAATAGAAGTGTAGCTTGAACCTTTTTCCAGGGCTAAAGGATCTTGCCTGTAATTCTTCTCTTGTTTATTTTTCACTTGTATATTGTTGAAGTTGCTGAAAATACTGCGTCCCAAATCTTGATGATTCCAATAAACAAGTTCCGTTCCATTTGGGTATAATGTAATAAGCTGTAATAAGCATGCTCCTTGACAGGCTAGACTACATGCTAGATTGAGTTAGATGGCAAGTCCTCTTAGAGGTTTTTTTGGGCATAGTTCCCTTTTCATGGTCTAGGGTAGAGGGAGTAAAAACTAAACAAAACGGCAAATATCCATGAAGTTGTTATTTTGTGTGCACAGAATTGCAAAGTGTGAGGTTAACTGTTGGTGCTGCTGTGTAGAGCAGAGTATAAATGCGTTGTCTGAGGCCTCCATGGATACTATTAACTGCTCTTTTGGGAGAAGAATTACTCTAATTGAACAGTTCAATAGGTTTGTTTTTCTGCTAGTTTAAAGTTGGAAGCAGAGCTGTGACGTGCCTACTTATGTGTTCAGTATGGTTGAAGGTATTCTGCTGTTTGCTACATATATGCTTCTGATACACTGCTGTATAGTTTTTCTTTTAAACAATAAATTAGGCCTTATCTGTAACTGGGTTTTTTGGGGGGGAATTGGAAAATCCAGAGGCAGTGCCCTGCTGGCTCTTCTCTGTATTCAAAAGTGATTAAAAGGTGAAACACAGATCACTGAAATGCTGTCTCATTCCTTGGAAAACAATACGACACCATACCACAAAAGCAGAACAGCAAAGTAAAGCATCTAGTTTACCTGGATTTCATTACTCAGAAAAGCAATTAAAAGGTCTTTTTTAATTTCAAACTCAGACGGTGTGAACTCAGAGTTTAGTTGTATATGCATTAATTTTATTTGTTCAACTTGAGGTTAGTGGAGGCTTTAGCTTTGTATGAAATTTTGTATTTGCTTTTTGAAAAGCCATAGTGTCTTATATATACCAGTTATATTTAAGACACTGCCATAAAAAAAAAAACAAACAAACATGGGAATTACATTTTGCTTTAAAATGTGGTCTATAGCTCTGGGAAATTGTTGTTGGTGTAACTATGCATTTACCAAAGCAAGCTAAACTGAGTGGGGAAAGGAGAGCATGTAATTCTCCTTCAAACAAAATAGTTCAGATTTTTTTGTACAACTACAATTTTTCCTATTGGAGATTATATGCATTTAAAGAAGTCTGACAAAAATATGCCTAGCTGCTATTACTGTGCTAGTCTGTGTTTTCCACACAAACCTTGTCTGAGTGAATCTTCTGTTTGGAGATATATATATACACACACATATATATATATTTGTGTCAGGATTTATTCTGGAGATATTACTACTGGAAAACCTCACAGCATTAACTATTCTGCTACTTCAGGGAGACTTGTATGTCTCAATTCTAAATTTCTTCAAGAAGGCAAAGTATTTTAGGGATTTGCATAAGTATAGAAAATCTATCTTAATATGTTGGTGTGGAATTGCAAAACACAAAAAACCCATGTGTGGGAAAAACCCAGAAAACTGCTAAAATTGCAAGGCAACAAGGTGGCACAGAAGATTGTATCTTTGACCAGTTTTAATCCTTATATGGATAAAACCTTCCATGCTATAAATAAATGAGGAATACATACTTTCTGTGATTTCAGTTTTTTGTCCACATGGATGTTTTGTCAGTGTACTTGCAGTGATAGGATGGAGAAAAGAAGCTGCTTCTGTGGGCTGAAATACTGGAACAAGTATTGGTGCTCAACTGCCAGCTGGTCACACTTCATATCCATGCACTTAGTGTGTGGCTAGCGAGACTGAATTACTTTTACCTCCCTGATTTGCCTTGCTAAGAAGAGGTACTGTGCATTAGCTGCAATACAGTACTTTGTACTTGCATGGCAGCTTGTGTTTGTGTGTGTGCCCTCAGCTAGGAGTGGAGTTGTTATCATTATTTACTATGGCGGTTGATGTTAGTCATGAAGAGCAGGAAAGCACAAGAAACTCGGGGATGAAAATGTCCTGCTTCAAACAGCTCTGCAAAACACACCCCATTCAGCTTGCAGCTAAGCACAAGAGCCAGATTTTGCACTTAGCACTTACAGAGTTCCTGTTTGATACCAGTAAGAAAAGCTTGCTGGACTTTCATTCAGAAATATGTAGTGGATATTTGTTTAAATTGGGAGAATCTGCTTTTAAAGATAAGCTGTTTCAGGAGACAAGCTGTTTGTTTGGTGCAGGTCAGTGGGCATAAAATTTAGAAACCTTGTTATAAAACCTAGCTGCTCTCTGAAGATGTCCTTGGAGGATTCTTCTCCAGTGTGGGGTGTTTGCTTACTGACTGGATGCTATAAATGGGCAGACTTGGAAAAACAGGAGTGAGGGAAGAAACCCCACACCTACATTAACATTAAACTAAGCAAAGGGATTTAAAAGAGGATGAGGAAGGCTCTTTCAGAACAGAACTTAGATATTAAAAAAATACAATTACTATTAAAGTTATTTGCATGAAATTATTACATTCCTGCTGATATTTCACCTGTACTTTTAAAAATTTAGTGGTCCATTTGATGCAATTAAATGGCTTAAGTGTGAACTTCTCATTAAGAATGCTAGAAGATTCAAAGTGCCAGCCTGGCAGTGCAGAAGCTATTTATTTCCAAATGTTGTTTTTCTCAACTGTTAGAACTCTAAGGGAGAGGAAGGGAGAAAACAAATAGCTACTGAATTTGATACTGCAACTTAACGTGAAGTTGGTATATATCAGTAAGGAAGTCATGGATGTGCCCTGTAACATATGAGTATTTACCTAAATGTTACCATCAGTAAAATATTTTTGAAAATCTGTGTTTTGTCCTTAAACTGAGTAGAAAAAAGGATAGATTTGTTTCAAAAATGTCAAAGAAATGTGAAATGAATGTCATCCCCATGTAAATCCACTGAAGCAGTATGCTNTGTGTTTGGAGACATCTAAGTAAAGAAAGAGGCTATTCCTCTTGCAGAGGTGTCAAACAAAAGCTCCTGACTTTACAATGGCAAGTAATTCAACATCCCACTGTTGAATGGAAATAATGATGGTCTGTCTTTTGGAGGAAATTCCTGCTGTGTCTGACTGTTCTTCTCTAGGTCTATTTTTGAGATCCATTTTTTCTGAGAGCTATTTTTGATTTTAAGAGTGACTTATTTTTCTTCCATTGTTGAAAGACCACTTTCTTAAACTGTATTGGTTGTTACCTGTTGCAGGTATGTAAAATTCTCATTAGAGCAGCTTCCTGCTAGAAGTTGCAGACCACTGTCACCACTGTTGTTTGCCAGCACTGCCACATCCAGGTCAAGTGGATAAGGCTGTAACGCCACTGTGCTGTGTGGTGTGTGCAAAAAGCAGTTTAGGAGGTATAGACCAGTCCCTTCCCAAGCAAAATAAAGTATTAGGGCAATACTACTGCTCTACCACAGGCCAAAATTAATGTAGGCTATGCCTCAGTCTCAGAACAAGTTCTTTGACATATTGGTGAACACTGATGAATGTAGAATAGGGAAGAATGGATGAGGTCAAAGGTCACTGTGCCAACCAGACTGCAGTCCAAGAACAGTCTGGGCATCAGACTGCAAAGGTGGGAATAATAATGACACCAGCTTGGAAGGGATGTGACATCTGCATGTGAGTACATGCCACTACCTGTTTGGTTTTCTTGGGATGTAAATTGGTGTGACTGTGTTTATGATGTATCTGCACATTTTAAAAAAATATTTTTAGGGGGAACATTGTAGTTTTCTGGTGTGTTGAGTTTTTTTACTTCTCCCCACAAAGTACTAGATCAGCAGTATTTAAATATGTTGTCATTTGAAACTGTAAGTCAGACTTGCTCTCTTGGCAGAGTGATGGAAAAACTGCCAAGGTTTTCTTTGTCATTAAACTGAAAGAAGATTTTTTCCAAACAGTCATGGGTTATCACAGATCAGTCGGGTATAGTGTGGAACATGCAGGCTCTTTTGTCAGAGACAGATCAAGAGCACTTAGGCTGTATCTCCACAACCAAAAATATCTGTGTTCATGCAGTCCTATTTCAGACAGAAAATAGTGATACATCAGGTAGGGGAAAGAGGGAGGGAAAAAGAGCTGAGAGATGAAAGCATCAAGTCTGGGATACAGTATGGAATGTCTCTACAGGATTCAAAGCAATTGCTGAGGCTACCCTTCTTGACAAGAGGCTGAGCTGCTTTCTCAGCCTCTTCCAAGGACTTGATCTCTGACTGGAACAGCATTGTCGTGGAAAAGGATTTCCAGAGAGAGACCTCACGGTCTAGTTGCATCTGTACCACTATAATGATTCAAGTAGCAAAACTTTCTTGGGTAAATGTAAGTACCACTTCCCCTTTGGTTCTCTTTTGGCAACAGCATAAAGAAAATAAATACATTGGAATTGAGTCATCACTCACTGATGCAGATTAAAAATTACCGTTTTCTTCAAGAAGAAAAAAGTTGTTGTTTTTTTTTTTTTAATGGTCCATCAGCCACAGTGATGTTGCTCAGTACAAGCTCTGTCTGAGCATGGTACTACCATGTAACCAAATCATGCATGCCTCCTAAACAATGCAATTCCTGGCTGTACTTAGGGGTACAATTAGCCTCACCAGTTAAGGACAACTCTAAAAGTTTTACTGGAGGAGTAGCCATGATCTTACTTTTATATCCTAGCAACTGTGGTGGTTTAAGCCCAGCTAGCATCTAAGCACCATGAAGCTGCTCCCTCCTGCCCTGCCCCAGTGAAATGGGGCAGAGAATCAAAATTAAACTCGTAGCTTAAAATAAGAGTTTAATAATTGGGAAAAAAAAGTCAATAAATAATAATAATGATAAAAAGGAATAGAAAAACAAGTGATGCACAATACAATTGCTCACCCCATACTGACTAATGCCAGATTCCCTTCCTGAATCCAGATCGGCCTCATTTCCAAGTAGCTGCCCTCCCGTTATACTGGGTACGATGTCCTGTGGTATGGAATATCCCTCTGGTAAGTTCAGGTCAGCTGCCGTGGCTGTGCACCCTCCCAAGATTTCTTTTCCTTCTCAGTGGCAAAGGACGAGACACGACAAAGTCCTCGACTTAGGATAAACACGATTTAGTAAATTCAAAACATCAGGTTTTTATTCTGCATGCAAAACTCATGATAGTCCCAGCTACTGAGCAATTAACTCCATGCAGCCAAAACTACTGAGCGCTGGAGTGACATAGCTTAGTCATGAAATAACAGATTTTTATCGCTATGCAGCAGTTGATACGGATTAATCATCCACTTAAGGATTTGCTCTAAGAGTACTTTTTAATGGGTTTTGGGAGGCAGCAGTGCTGAACAGGGCCACACCGTGTTTACGGTGAAAACACCTTCGCAATTAACCTTCAGGCTTGTTTCGTCCGGAGCTCCTCTAACGCCACTCGTAGCGCATGACAAAGCGAAAGCGGCAGAACGCACGCAGCCTCACCAAATGCCCACACGTGTTAACCCTGGCGGCGCCCCGGTTCCAGCGCCGCCAGCCCCTCACCGCTCCGTCCCCTGCGGGGCTGCCGGGCCGGCGCGGGCGGCCCCCGCGAGGCGCAGGCACGGGCGGCACCGGCTGCCCGCGCGCCCCGGCCCGAGAGCGAGACGCCGAGCCCCGAGCGCGGCCGGCGCCTCGCGGCGCCTCAAGGGCGAGCGCGCGTCACTTCCGGGACACACCCGCCTCCCGCGCCTGCATCGCGAGACCCCGCCCCGCCTCGCGCGAGACTCGCTGGCTCACCCGGCCGACCGGCCGAGTCCCTTCGGCAATTTCCGTCACCGCCAGACCCTACCAATCGGGCGCAGGAGCGCATCGATGCGCGCGGGCCCCCCGCGGGGTCCCTGCGGGGCCGAGCCCCGCCGTGCTGCCGTGGGGTCCGTGCCGCGGGCACGGCGGCGCTGCCGGGGCTGCGGGGCCCAGGCGCGGGGCCGGGGCGGCGGGGAGGCGTGCGGGGTTCGACTGATCAGGCCTGGGCATGGCGCCTCTCCTCCCCCCCGCCATGGCTCCCCGTGTCCCTGCTCCTCTCCTCTCAGTGAGCGAAAGTGGCCGCCGCCGCCGTCCCAGCGCCCGCAGCCGCCGCCTCCTCCTCAGCACCAGCGCGGGCGCCATCTTGGCGAGGCAGGAGCCGGGAGCGCCCCGCGGCAGGAGACAGGCAACGCCAGCCCCGGCAACGCGGGGCGAGAGGCCGGGTGGAGCAAGCGGGGGAGCGAGCCGGGGAGACACCCCCAGCCCCCCGCCGCCGCCGCCGCGTCGCCGCCGGGCCCGCTACCCAGGTGAGCCACCGCGGCCACTGCGAAGGGCACGCCGGGCCGGGACTACGGGAGGCGGCAGCGGGGGCGCCGGCCGGGCAGGCCGAGGCTTCACCCCCCGCGCCGACCGGCGGCCGCAGCAGCCGGGCCTCTTCTTAAAGAGACAGGCCCCTTCCCCGCCCTGCCCGCCGGATGCGCCCCGCGGTACCGGCGGCGCGGAGCCGCCGTTCCCCTCCCCCAGTCCCGGTCTAGAGCGGCGGCCGGGCGCCGCCGGGCGCGGGGGGGCTCGGCGGGAGGGTGGGGGGGGCGGGGGCGCCGCCGCGCACCTGCCGGCGCACGTGCGGGCGGTGGCGCGTGCGCGGGCGGGGGGGCGCGGGGGGGCGCGCGGCGAGGGCGGCGGCGCGGCCGGGCCGGGAGCGCCGCGTCACCGGCGGGAGCGCGCGCCCGCCGCCGCCGCCTGCGGGGGCGCGCCTGCGGGAACGCGCCCGCCTCCCCCCCCCAAAGCCCGCTGCCGTCAGAGCGCGGCCTCCGCCCCGCGGCCGGGCCGGGCCGGGCCGGGCCGGGCTGGGCTGGGCCGGGCCGGGCCGGGCCGGCTGCCCCTGTACGTGAGGCCGCGTGGCGCGGCTCTGCCCGCAGAGCCCGGAGGGGCGGGGTCCCGGGCCGCCCCGGCGCTCCCGGAATAGCCACCGGCACCTGCAGGAAGGGGCCCCCTGCCAGACTCGTGGCGTTGTTGATGGAAAGTGTCTCCCGGGTGGCCGTGGAGCGCAGTTCCGTGCTGTGTTCGCGCTGCTAAATGCGCACTTCCCGAAAGCTGCGCTCTAAAGTCCGCTCCTGTTTGACTGCAAACAGGTAGCCTAGTACAATTTCTCTGTGTGACTCGGTACAATTTCTGTTCTTAACGCTGTTTCCTGTCTTCTGTGGAAGATTTCTCCCACTGCAGTGTTGCAGATGATAATAAACTCCTTTAGTTTAGTTTCGTCTTTGCATGAAGAAAATTATGAAAGTCGTGTAATTTTTTTTACGGTGAAATGTGTATAATTAGAATTTTAGTTTCCTCTGTTACAAACAAATCTGCATGGATTTGTACACACAGATCTGATAAGGTGTACACAGCACATCTGATAAGCCCTTTATGTATGTGACCAACACATTTTTTAACTCAAAGGACTCATTTGTGTTGTCACTCCTTTAGTGTGTATGTATAAGAGTGTTCTGACACTGAGAGGTTGGTAAGATAGTGAGGGAAAAGGACAAGAAATAGAAGTGTAGCTTGAACCTTTTTCCAGGGCTAAAGGATCTTGCCTGTAATTCTTCTCTTGTTTATTTTTCACTTGTATATTGTTGAAGTTGCTGAAAATACTGCGTCCCAAATCTTGATGATTCCAATAAACAAGTTCCGTTCCATTTGGGTATAATGTAATAAGCTGTAATAAGCATGCTCCTTGACAGGCTAGACTACATGCTAGATTGAGTTAGATGGCAAGTCCTCTTAGAGGTTTTTTTGGACATAGTTCCCTTTTCATGGTCTAGGGTAGAGGGAGTAAAAACTAAACAAAACGGCAAATATCCATGAAGTTGTTATTTTGTGTGCACAGAATTGCAAAGTGTGAGGTTAACTGTTGGTGCTGCTGTGTAGAGCAGAGTATAAATGCGTTGTCTGAGGCCTCCATGGATACTATTAACTGCTCTTTTGGGAGAAGAATTACTCTAATTGAACAGTTCAATAGGTTTGTTTTTCTGCTAGTTTAAAGTTGGAAGCAGAGCTGTGACGTGCCTACTTATGTGTTCAGTATGGTTGAAGGTATTCTGCTGTTTGCTACATATATGCTTCTGATACACTGCTGTATAGTTTTTCTTTTAAACAATAAATTAGGCCTTATCTGTAACTGGGTTTTTTGGGGGGGAATTGGAAAATCCAGAGGCAGTGCCCTGCTGGCTCTTCTCTGTATTCAAAAGTGATTAAAAGGTGAAACACAGATCACTGAAATGCTGTCTCATTCCTTGGAAAACAATACGACACCATACCACAAAAGCAGAACAGCAAAGTAAAGCATCTAGTTTACCTGGATTTCATTACTCAGAAAAGCAATTAAAAGGTCTTTTTTAATTTCAAACTCAGACGGTGTGAACTCAGAGTTTAGTTGTATATGCATTAATTTTATTTGTTCAACTTGAGGTTAGTGGAGGCTTTAGCTTTGTATGAAATTTTGTATTTGCTTTTTGAAAAGCCATAGTGTCTTATATATACCAGTTATATTTAAGACACTGCCATAAAAAAAAAAACAAACAAACATGGGAATTACATTTTGCTTTAAAATGTGGTCTATAGCTCTGGGAAATTGTTGTTGGTGTAACTATGCATTTACCAAAGCAAGCTAAACTGAGTGGGGAAAGGAGAGCATGTAATTCTCCTTCAAACAAAATAGTTCAGATTTTTTGTACAACTACAATTTTTCCTATTGGAGATTATATGCATTTAAAGAAGTCTGACAAAAATATGCCTAGCTGCTATTACTGTGCTAGTCTGTGTTTTCCACACAAACCTTGTCTGAGTGAATCTTCTGTTTGGAGATATATATATACACACACATATATATATATTTGTGTCAGGATTTATTCTGGAGATATTACTACTGGAAAACCTCACAGCATTAACTATTCTGCTACTTCAGGGAGACTTGTATGTCTCAATTCTAAATTTCTTCAAGAAGGCAAAGTATTTTAGGGATTTGCATAAGTATAGAAAATCTATCTTAATATGTTGGTGTGGAATTGCAAAACACAAAAAACCCATGTGTGGGAAAAACCCAGAAAACTGCTAAAATTGCAAGGCAACAAGGTGGCACAGAAGATTGTATCTTTGACCAGTTTTAATCCTTATATGGATAAAACCTTCCATGCTATAAATAAATGAGGAATACATACTTTCTGTGATTTCAGTTTTTTGTCCACATGGATGTTTTGTCAGTGTACTTGCAGTGATAGGATGGAGAAAAGAAGCTGCTTCTGTGGGCTGAAATACTGGAACAAGTATTGGTGCTCAACTGCCAGCTGGTCACACTTCATATCCATGCACTTAGTGTGTGGCTAGCGAGACTGAATTACTTTTACCTCCCTGATTTGCCTTGCTAAGAAGAGGTACTGTGCATTAGCTGCAATACAGTACTTTGTACTTGCATGGCAGCTTGTGTTTGTGTGTGTGCCCTCAGCTAGGAGTGGAGTTGTTATCATTATTTACTATGGCGGTTGATGTTAGTCATGAAGAGCAGGAAAGCACAAGAAACTCGGGGATGAAAATGTCCTGCTTCAAACAGCTCTGCAAAACACACCCCATTCAGCTTGCAGCTAAGCACAAGAGCCAGATTTTGCACTTAGCACTTACAGAGTTCCTGTTTGATACCAGTAAGAAAAGCTTGCTGGACTTTCATTCAGAAATATGTAGTGGATATTTGTTTAAATTGGGAGAATCTGCTTTTAAAGATAAGCTGTTTCAGGAGACAAGCTGTTTGTTTGGTGCAGGTCAGTGGGCATAAAATTTAGAAACCTTGTTATAAAACCTAGCTGCTCTCTGAAGATGTCCTTGGAGGATTCTTCTCCAGTGTGGGGTGTTTGCTTACTGACTGGATGCTATAAATGGGCAGACTTGGAAAAACAGGAGTGAGGGAAGAAACCCCACACCTACATTAACATTAAACTAAGCAAAGGGATTTAAAAGAGGATGAGGAAGGCTCTTTCAGAACAGAACTTAGATATTAAAAAAATACAATTACTATTAAAGTTATTTGCATGAAATTATTACATTCCTGCTGATATTTCACCTGTACTTTTAAAAATTTAGTGGTCCATTTGATGCAATTAAATGGCTTAAGTGTGAACTTCTCATTAAGAATGCTAGAAGATTCAAAGTGCCAGCCTGGCAGTGCAGAAGCTATTTATTTCCAAATGTTGTTTTTCTCAACTGTTAGAACTCTAAGGGAGAGGAAGGGAGAAAACAAATAGCTACTGAATTTGATACTGCAACTTAACGTGAAGTTGGTATATATCAGTAAGGAAGTCATGGATGTGCCCTGTAACATATGAGTATTTACCTAAATGTTACCATCAGTAAAATATTTTTGAAAATCTGTGTTTTGTCCTTAAACTGAGTAGAAAAAAGGATAGATTTGTTTCAAAAATGTCAAAGAAATGTGAAATGAATGTCATCCCCATGTAAATCCACTGAAGCAGTATGCTGGTGATGTTGTAAACAGTTACATACAGTAGTGGATCAGGCTGTGTGCCTCTTGTTTGTTCCTATCTTCTCTCACTTCACTGTTCAACCAGTTTTTGCTATTGGAAATCTTTGTTAAAACCTATCGTGAAAATGAAAGAATGGAGAATTAATTATCTATCACTTAGCCTTCTGTATTATTACTTTGATCAGCAGAGAAGCACTTTGTGATTGTCAGCATATAAATAAATGAAAGGCTGAATTAAGTGTCTGAGTTATTCACTATTCAGTATGCTTGTGTAACACTTACTGACTTTCTTTTGGGCATTGTAGGTACGTTTTAAGGATATCGTTAAGCTCTCCTGTACTTTTTCGTTTATTTGGTAGGCAGGATACAGACTAGTAACTGTTTTGAGGACAAGAGTAATTAATGTTGTATGTACAGGAGCCTTGTGGAGCAATTAAAATAGGAAGACAAGCAAAAGCATATCTTCTTATATGGGTGAAATACAGAGGAGTTATACTATGTCAGGTCAAGGAAGACTATTAAATGTGGAAATGCAAGGCTGAGTTTTGGCAATGTGGTTTTCTGCAAACAGCAGACAGGTGAAAGATGCCATGTTTTTCTGATTGATTTAATGCATGCCCTGGTTGATGGATACATTTTGAAATTGAATGACAAAAGGAATCACCATACTTTTTGCTATGACACTAGGGAGAGATTTTTGCTCTTGTAATATATGTCATTTTTATTAGTGATCATAAGGAAAGGAAAACCCCTTTCACCTTCAAGGTGTTCTTTTCTACCACCTCATGAATGGTCTCTTCCATTAGAGGCACAAGTTTCATGTTTCCTCTCATTTTTTAAGCCTTTTATTTAATTTCTTCACAGAAGGGGTTGTCAAGCATTGGAACAGGCTGCCCAGGCAAGTGGTTGAGTCACTGTCCCTGGAGGTATTTAAAAGGTGTGTGGATGTGGCACTTGGGGACATTGTTTAGTGGTGGACTTGGCAGTGTTGGATTAGCAGCTGGAATTGATGATCCTAGAGGTCTTTCCCAACCAAAATGATTTTGTGGTTCATTTTGTGTTTTCCTCTCTTTTGGAAGACAGTTCTTGGTTTTAATTTTTTTGTTTGGTTGGTTTGCTTTCAAATGCCTGTTAAGCATTTTGACATAAGTAGATGAAAGTTGCTTGGAAAATGTGCATCTTACTACCCTTATAGGGAAAGCTTTCAGGTGTTGCTAAGTTCTGCTGGAAAGGAGGATTTGGTGACAGAGTTCAGTCATTCAATTGCTGTCAGGTATGCAAGGACCTATTATGTAGAAAGCTTCAGTCTAAAAAGTATTTTTATCACAGAGCTGTTACCTTATCTAATGAATTCTGGTGTGTTACTGGTTATTCTCTGTGGATGAGGATGTTAACTCAAGACACAGTATTTATTAAGAAATAATACAGTTTGCTCTTTTTCAAGCACAGCCATTAGTCTTAAGATGAGAATCACTTATATTGTAACTTTGAAGTTCTGAATTTGTTCTGTAATTTTGGAGGATAAAAGAGAAGGTTAGATGCTGGGGTTTGGATCTGTATATGTGAAGAGAGAACCACTTGAAG